AAGGTACTGCCGCTTCAATTCTCTCCTGTTTGAACTCCGGATATCGGCGAAAGCACTCAACAGCAGCAACTTTGGCTCGATGAATATCGTCAGAATGCCTGGCCCACTATTCCTGGAGCTTGTTGCTCAAACTAGCAATTGTCCCCCTAGCTTCTTCTAGCTTTCTATTCATACTCGCGCTAAGGGAATAGAACCGTTGGCAGTCCTCCTCGGCACTGAGGCGGGTTGCTTCTAGTTGAGATTGGAGGATCTCCATGTTGGCCCTCATCTCGTGGGACTCATGCTTCAAAGCAATGACCTGGTCCAGCATGACTTGACCCAGCGAGTTGATCTATAGACAAAAAAAACAACTCAGTAAGGGACAAATAAAGCAACGGAGCAAGTGTCGCAAAGATGCTTACCTGTATGGTGTTTCAAATAATCCATGCTTCGAGTTCAAAGGGATCCAACTCATGATAAATGTGGATGCCTTTAGGAAGGAGAATACCCCTTCCCATATGAAGCGTCACATACGTGAAGGGATGAGAGATCCATCATATGGATAGCCGAACCCTGTAGGAAGGTAGGGCGAAATTTCAAAAATTTCTCTCTCTCCCATGTGGGAATCATATTCCCTGTTTTAGAAAACTGCATTTTCAATGATCAGTCTTGAACCCTAAACCGAACCAGATCTGAAACCAAAAGGGTAGGAGAGGGAGATACCTGATACGGAGAAATAATAACTCTCAATGAAGGTGTTCACGCCCAAGGAGATCCCCAAAGACTGCTCCCACTAAAGATGACACAATGTAGGGTGGAGCAGAATCAGCAGGTGGTTCTTCACAAGAACCAAATCCTTCAACAAGAATTCGATGGAGGGTATGTGAGCACGATTTCAAATCATTTTTTCACCAAAAACTGATATCAAGAACTTTTCTTGATCGCTCCTACAAGTGGAGAACGAACTAGTAATGGCGGCAGCAGGAGGAGAAGACAAGAGCAGAAGATGGCGCAGTCTTACTGTTGCTTTCTTTCTCTCTTGTATCTGAGATCAAATTGAGTGAATGGAGGTTCGCCCTCCTCCTCCTTTAATAGCCTTAAAGGGAGCAACTCCTAATCTCATTAGGAGTTTCCTAATTCAAATACTTATTTGAATCAGGACTCTCTTTAAGAGATAAGGATAAACCCTTATCTTATCTGTAGATTGAGATAAGCCCTCCTAATCTCATTAGGAGTTTCCTAATCCAAATCATTATTTGGATCTGGACTCTCTGAATGAATGGATGATCTAGATTATCTGCTGATCCAAATCCCAGAACCGCCCCTCTTTAATTAATCAAATTAAACCAGTTTGATTTGGGCATTAGGCCCATTAAGTCCATGTGCTCATTAACCTTCCAAACTGCTGCCCAGTTGGATTTCCTTGTATGGCATGGGACCCAAACATTGATCTACACATCAGTCACATGGGTTCAGCCCAGCCTCTGTTACAAGGCTTGGCTGAATTCATTGTAGGAAACAGTGAACCTTGAGCCCATCACCATGGGCTCTTAATGGGCCCAACACTTACACTAAGTGGTCCCTGGGTTAAGCCACCTTATAAAAACCCAAGGACTGTGGGCAGATGCAAGATTAGCCCATCAGGTATTACCCTCAATGGTCTTACACTTAACCTCTCAGCCCATAATGATCAAACACTGCCYGACAAGAGAGGACCTCTCCCTYGGCTGCAAGGRACAGTGWTGCACTCTCTACTCACATGGATCCCRGGAATTAAAACMTTTTGCAAACATTTTGAAACCATAATATATATGTATATCTCTATATAAATATATTTTGAAAAAACAAATTTCAGCGGTTGAAATCAACGACTGACAGTTTAGGTTTCCATCAGAGAGAGTGCATCCCCGATCATTCACTTTGTCCGACAAAGGGGCTGATCCTGTCACTATGATCACCCACTCAGATGAATTCTCGGACTATCCCAACATACCTAGGTTTTGACCCCCTCTAAGGATCTCACTGATTGGCATATCAAAGACAGCTCAATCTAACATCTAGTGCAGTATCATAATCGAGTCTAAGGGTCAGGTGCAACATTCCAGTTTTGCCCATCAATCTCCAAGGTCCAGGGCAATACTGGAATTCTGGTCCGGTTCAGGGTTTCAAGAAAACCCACACGCATGTACCTCTGGTCTCACCCTGGTAGCTGAGACAAACCACCCCAACCAACTTGGCGGCACATCAGTGTCAGTCTTATCAGGATAGATCTCCCCATATCGATCCACCGGCTGTGAACATTCTAAACTAACACGAGTCTCATATGTATCCAGTTTAAGGGTATTACACAGAAACACACCACAATAACATGAATCAAATATATATTTTATTCATTTACAATAAATGTCATAATATACATCAATCTGATTGGAGCTAAGGGCATACACTGTCTAACAATACGGGTCATGAATTCGATCAGTAATCAAACAATTGACCCAGGGGATGAACGGAGGGATCTTCGGGCCATAAGGAATCGTCGCCTCGTCAAAGTCAGATGCGCTCGCTGGTGGCACTGGAGTGACGAGGCCAGGTTCGGTCTGAACTGGGTTGCCACCCTCCTCTGGGTCTACTATAGCACGACCTTCAACCGACCTCTCTTCAATTAAGCGGCTAGACTCACCGACTGCCCTCATCTTCTTCTTCGACGGCTTCCGTGCTGCATTTATGATCAAGAAAAAAACTAATCATCCCTGCAATCAAATGAAAAAGAAAATCTATTGAGATAGGGAGGGCAAAAAATAAAATTCAAAGATAATGAATATAGTGTGACCTATATATGGGGCTAAGACTAGTCTCGATGAGCATCGGTTCGGCCAGAAACTTGTCAACCAATGAGCGCCGTTCAACAAAGAGTCTAAGGTCGTTCAGCCACTACTCGTAAAACTCGACTTCATACCTTTCCTGCAACACTGATGACCATTCGCATAACTATAGGCTCTCCATGGTAAGCTCTGTCCCACTGTAAAAAAACTCTAAAACCACCCGTGCAAGCTTTGATCGCCAAGCTGTCAACAATTTTAATTACAATATAATTATACTCAAACACATAAAATTATAGATTTTTCTGCCCCAAGTTTGATGTGAAAGAACAAGGGAAGGTAGCGTCAAAATGGGTCAACTATTCTGTCAAGCTGTAACAAATTAGCCTCATTAGATATCCTAATCTAGGGTTCTTTAATGCTAGAATGCTATGAAGAAGCCAGTCCAGATAGACCCAAAGTTGTAATTGTTTATCTTTTATATGGTTGCAATTTGCAAATACAAAACCTATATATCTAGGTTCAGTTTAAGATTCCTTCCTTTCAAACCAGTTCAGAGTTTGGCAATTCTAGTTTTTTGTCTTGACTATCAACCCATCCTTTTTCCCCTGTTCTTTTTCTTTCTTTTTTTAACCTAAAGTTAGGTCCCTACCCCAAGCAGTGTTGCAAGACTCGAATTGCACCGGACGGTTGGACCTTGAAAACCGAGAATCGGTGATCTTTCCCGGTCCCGGTTAAATGACGGCCTTCAAAAATTGAACAGGCCAACCCCCCAGTTAACCGGCAAAACCATGACCCATAGAGCATTCTGGTTTTTAATCAAGTCCTGCAAAACCACGACCCAGTAACCTTCTCTGGGCTTAGGTTCATGGATTAACTTGGTCCAAATCTGGTCTTCTCTTCTGGGCATATTTAATTAACCTGACAGGATTCTGTTTCTACCCTTGTGATTTTAGCAATTCTCAGGCCATGGTCACCATCAAATTGAAATTGATTAAAGTTGGAAAGACCATTTAGGTATCACATGTAAGAGCAGAATTTATTAGTTTGTACCTTTCTTGGGAGTCAATTTCAGTGTACTTCTATCTGAAAAAAAAAAAGTTTTATTGTACTTCAATAACAAATAACAAAGAGCTTAAGCCAAAAGAAATGAATAAGGATATATTGATAATGATAATAATTAAAGAGCTTCATAATGAGTGTGTGGTGTGTGGTAGAAGGAGATGGTCTCTGAGAGTTCTTTATTAGAAAGGAGGCATATTTAATCAAATAGTTTTGATCTAAATGCCATAGACGTGGGGAACCAATTGAGCATGAAACTGGACCATCTAATCTAACTGCTGGGCCACCTATGGATTAACTACTAAGCAAGCTAGGTTACATGCTTGGACAGAACTAGCTGTTTGACTGGTATGACAAATCATTTGGGACCCTTGACCCAAATGAAGGTTATCAGAGTGATTGAAGAAAAAGGAAGTTAAGGGAACAACTATACTTCAAGGCTTGGTCTCATATGCCGGACAGTAGGCCCTCCCTATCTCATCAAATAGAGTTTTGGCTTCCTCTAGGAAGAAAATAAGTCTCCTTCACTGATTGAATTGCTTAGTTTATTAAGATCAGAAATTTTGTTTAGTTTATTGATTGGATTAATTGCTTAGGATTAGAATTTGTCCAGTGAGGAAACTAACAAGTGTGGATGATCATCTTGGCTAGGTGTGTAGCACAGATCATTCATTATAAGACAAGTTTGTTAAGAAAGAGGTGTTGTGACAGGAGAGAACAAACTCTTCATAGTTACTCTTCCTCATCTATTACTTGCAAGTAAAGGTTGATTAAGACCCTAACAAGCATGTAAAGTAGGACATGTTGTGCACATGCAATTAATGGATCCTACCTTGAAAAATTCAATATTCTTTAAAAAGCCAAACCCATCAGAGAACCCTAGTCATCTGATTTTCAGAATCAAATCTAAATCCAAGGGATAAGACCTCCATAGATTCACAGAGTGGGTCCTAAAACACAATTCCACTCCATTACAGACAAAAATTTATGATATCTCATGGTCATCCCCATGTCCATGGATATGATTCATGGAAGATTTATCCGGCCGGTGATAAAAAAAAAAAAAAAAAAGCTAAAAAGTATTGATTACAATTATTACAGAAGTAAACATAAAAAACAGAGAGAGGGAGAATTGCCGAGCAAATCGGACCGGCCAGAATAAGAAAGGACTAACCTATTAACTCTTTCCCCTCAATACTTGGTTTACAAAAAGAGCCAAAATTAATTAAACCTTGCAAATATAATAAACAAACGTATGTATCAAAGACTCTGTAATCTGCATGATCAGAAGTTTATGTATAAATATTTCTTTCTGTTTTGTGTTGAAGAAAACAATGCATGTACACATGGTGCCACTGTTTTCCTGCGCGTGACATGATCTCCCTTGTATACTCAAGCACACACGCAGAGAGAGAGAGAGAGAGAGAGAGAGGTGGTATACTGGAGCTATTTTAATGGCATTCTTTCTATAATTAATTCTTTCTTTCTCTTTTGAGCATTGGGTTTTGGGTTTTGCTTGGTGAAGCAGTGAGGGGACTGAGAGAGAGAGCTAGCAGCAGTGGTGGTGGTAGTGGAGGAGTTTTGAGGAAAGAGAAGGCAGGAGACCCGATGCAAACGCGTGAAGGAAGGGTTGGGATTTGAGGCAATGTCGATGCCGAGGTCGAGGCAATCCCACAACAACGACAACTTCAGCAGGACCACCTTCATCCTCCATGGCAATTTCTGCTCCATTCTCGCCGCCGTCGTGGTCGTCCCAGTTCTTGTTTTAGCCTTTCACGTCGGACCAACCGTGGCTGCAAACCATGAAGCGCTTGCACTTCTGTCTTGGATACACAGCTCCCCTTCAGCTCCCTCCTTTTCTTCTGTTTTCCAGAACTGGAACCCAGAAGATCCCAACCCATGTAACTGGACTTACATTACCTGTTCTCCTCAAGGCTTTGTCACCCAGATTATCATCCAGTCTGTTGAGCTTGCACTCCCTGTTCCTTCCAATCTGTCCTCGTTTGTTCACCTTGAAAAGCTTGTCATCTCTGATGCTAATCTCACCGGGACCATCCCGGCTGAGATTGGTGACTGTGCCAAGCTTTCAGTTCTCGACCTCAGCTTCAATGGCCTAGTTGGTAGTATTCCTGCAAGCATTGGAAAGCTCCAGGATCTTCAAGACTTGGTCTTGAACTCTAACCAGCTCACTGGGAGGATCCCCAGTGAGCTCGGCAACTGTGTCAGCCTCAAGAATCTTCTACTGTTTGATAATCGTCTCGGAGGCAACCTTCCGCCTGAACTAGGCAAGCTGTCGAGTCTTGAAGTTCTACGTGCCGGAGGGAACAAGGACATTGTTGGGGAGATTCCACCCACGCTCGGGGCCTGCAGCAGTCTGACCGTTCTTGGGCTAGCTGATACTAAAGTTTCTGGCCCCATACCTGCGTCACTTGGTAGGCTCAGAAAGCTCCAAACGATCTCTATCTACACTGCCATGCTCTCAGGTGAGATTCCAGCAGAGATAGGTAACTGCCCGGAGCTTGTTAACTTGTACTTGTATGAAAATGCTCTGTCGGGTTCGCTTCCACCGGAGCTTGGCAAGCTTCAGAAGCTGGAGAAGATGTTGTTGTGGCAGAACTCCTTTGTTGGGGCTATTCCGGATGAGATTGGGAACTGCAGCAGCCTGATGATGATTGATCTCTCGCTGAATTCTTTCTCTGGAATCATACCTTGGTCTCTCGGACGCCTCTCGGAGCTCCAGGGGCTGATGCTCAGTGACAACAATATATCTGGTTCGATACCTTCTGTGCTTTCCAACTGTACAAACCTGATTCAAATGCAGCTAGACACCAATCAGATCTCAGGCTCGATCCCACCAGAGCTCGGAATGTTGTCTAAGCTGACAGTCTTCTTGGCGTGGGAGAACCAACTCGAAGGCAGCATTCCACCCACTCTGGCTTCTTGCAGTAGCCTCCAGTCAATAGATCTGTCTCACAATTCACTCTCTGGTAGCATCCCATCTGGGCTGTTCCAGCTCGGAAATCTCACAAAACTTCTCTTGATATCTAATGACATCTCCGGTCCAATTCCGGCGGAGGTCGGTAACTGCAGCTCTCTCATTCGGCTGCGGCTTGGAGACAATAGGATTGGTGGAGCGATCCCAAGAGAAATTGGTGGACTCAAGAGTCTCAACTTCCTTGATCTTTCTGAAAATCGTCTAACTGGGTTGGTTCCTGATGAGATTGGAAATTGCACAGAACTGCAGATGGTGAACCTAAGCAACAACATGCTCGGAGGTGCTCTGCCTAACTCTGTATCTTCTCTCACTGAGCTCCAGGTCTTGGATGTTTCAGTGAACAAATTCATGGGTCCAATCCCGTCTAGCTTTGGCCGTCTTGCTTCCCTGAACAAGCTTATCCTCAGCCAGAACTCCTACTCAGGATCAATACCTCCATCTCTTGGACTCTGTTTAAACCTCCAATTGCTTGATCTCAGCAGTAATGCACTCTCTGGAGGTATCCCAGTAGAACTGTGTCGGATAGAAGCTCTGGACATTGCTCTCAATCTGAGTCGCAACGAGCTAACAGGACCAATCCCAGCTCAGATATCGGCCCTCAGCAAGCTTTCCATACTTGATCTTTCACATAATAAGCTTGGTGGGGAATTGACACCGCTCTCTGGGCTTGAGAACCTGGTCTCTTTGAACATCTCTTACAACAACTTCACAGGTCTCCTTCCAGACAACAAGCTATTTCGACAATTATCAGCAACAGAGCTGGCTGGAAACCAAGGCCTCTGTGCTTTTGGAAGGGACTCTTGCTTCTTGAGCAACGTTGCTGGAATGCAAATGGAAAACAACAGTGATCTGGGGAGGTCAAGGAAACTTAAGCTGGCCATTGCATTGCTGATTGCGATGACTGTGGCAATGGTGATTCTAGGAACACTTGCAGTGATTCGAGCACGCAGAGTAATTAGAGATGATGATGATTCTGAGATGGGAGTGGACTCGTGGCCTTGGCAATTCACTCCATTCCAGAAGCTGAATTTCTCAGTAGAGCAAGTGTTGAAATGCCTTGTTGATAGCAATGTGATCGGGAAGGGGTGTTCAGGGGTGGTTTACCGTGCAGAACTGGACAATGGTGAGGTCATTGCAGTGAAGAAGCTGTGGCCAACAACAATGGCTGCAGCAAACGATGGTGACAATGATAGGTATGGAATTGGGGGCGTTCGTGATTCTTTCTCTGCAGAGGTGAAGACCCTTGGTTCCATTCGTCACAAAAACATTGTGAGATTCTTGGGTTGCTGTTGGAATCGAAATACAAGGCTGCTAATGTATGACTACATGCCTAATGGAAGCTTGGGTAGTCTCCTCCATGAGAGGAGTGGTAGCTGCTTGGAGTGGGACCTAAGATACCAAATTATACTTGGAGCTGCACAAGGTCTGGCCTATCTGCACCATGATTGTGTTCCTCCTATTGTTCACAGAGACATCAAGGCCAACAACATCCTCATCGGCCTCGAATTTGAGCCATATATTGCTGATTTTGGGCTGGCCAAACTTGTTGATGATGGAGATTTTGCGCGGTCCTCAAATACTGTTGCAGGCTCCTATGGCTACATTGCTCCTGGTTGGTATCCTTTTCATTCATGTCTAAGCTCAGTTGTGTTTGAGTTCTTGCAGTCATAGCTGTTATCTTTTAGTAAAATTGACAGTAAGTGCTTAAATTGTGATACTTTGGTTTGTTTGCAGAGTATGGATACATGATGAAGATCACGGAAAAGAGTGATGTTTACAGCTATGGAGTTGTTGTCTTGGAAGTATTGACAGGGAAGCAACCGATTGACCCAACAATACCAGAAGGGCTTCATGTGGTGGACTGGGTAAGGCAGAGGAGAGGGAGGATTGAGGTTCTGGATCCCAGTCTATGCAACCGACCTGAATCAGAGGTGGAGGAAATGATGCAGGCATTGGGAGTGGCCTTACTCTGTGTCAATCCTTGCCCAGATGAAAGGCCAACCATGAAGGATGTGGCAGCCATGCTCAAGGAGATCAGGCATGAGAGAGAGGAGCATGCAAAAGTGGACCTTCTCGTGAAGGAATCGCCGGCAAATGATTGCCGGAACAGTGGTGGAGGTCTGACGTCGACACCATCTTCATCTATGATGACACCACACCCATTGCCACAATGCAACAACACCAGTTTCTCTGCATCCTCACTCCTGTACTCATCTTCCTCTAATGTGAAAACAGCATTCAAGTGATTAATTACACAGAAGCTACTGCCAACAAACAAAAGTTTGTCTTCTCATATTGATCAAAAAAAAAAAAAAAGTTTGTCTTCTCATCAGTCCTGTTTCAAAAACTTTTGTCTTTTGATGTAAAAAAGAAAATATTATTCATTGGTGACAAGCATAACAACAAATAGGGCCAACTTTTGCAGATTGGCTTTTGGAATATATGATTGTTGATATTCATGGGTTGTATGATTGTATCGTCCATATGTTGCCATTTAAGTTTGAACTCGGTGTATCCTCTATAATAAGCATAATTACAGATACCAAAACAATGGCCTACCTGTTGGAAAAAGGCCAGGTTATTAGCTGAATGGATTCACTTCTCAAGAAACATGGGACATGTTAATCTTAATTGGAATGCTATCAAGATCATACACAGGCCACTGGTCCACTGAGGTGGAGAGGCCGAGAGAAATGATAAAGAAGATCACTTTCAGATCTATTGTTCGTTGCTTATCCAGTCCAAAGAGATTCTAACAAAAGTCCAGAATCTAGATTGATGCTGATGCTGTTATATTGTAGAATTGCTTTTTGTCACTGATCGATATCTTCTGGGTTTCTGAATAGTAAGAAAAAAAAAAAAAAAAACTTTCTGACATGGTTCTGGGCCTTCCGGCATCGGTTGAGTCTAGTAAGTAGTTTAGTGCAGTCTCGAGGGCTTTATAAAGCTGAGGGCTTGGGGCACAAGGTGAGGCATTTTGTAATTTGTTCAATTTTTCTTCATGATGGCATGGTCGGGTCAAATATTAAGAATTTTGGACAGAATTAGATACTAACTTTGAAGATGTCTTGACAATGATCGAGCCAAGAATTTTGCATTGTCCCGGATAAGGTTTCAGCTTCAGTAAGATTGGCTGGTGAACAGTGTTCTTATTTTCTGAACTGTGTGACATACTATTTTTTCATTGTTCTGCAGTAAGATTAGAATGTTCTATCACGTGGAAAAAAAATGCTTTCTTTTATTTTTTTGTGGACTTGGGGATCGAATCATATTCAGGAAATGAAGAATTGCCCAAGTAAAATCTCTCTGGGTCATTTGATGTAAACTAACTGCCTAAGCAAGAAACATAAAAGAGCAATTTGTACATGGTTTAGAGCTAGTGCAGCAGTTTTATTCTTTTTCTTTGCTTGAAACTATTAAAATCATAAGAGATAAGTTTCTCCCACATTTCAGGAAGCAGAGTGTTCTTATACATTATCCCAGCTTCCCACTAAATACTCTAGTTCCCCATGCTTTACAAGACCTTAAGTCCATAACCGCAAAGGCACAAACGCATATTGAAAACTTGAGTGACAGAGCTTAAGATGGTAGGTCCTCCAAGGCTTTGAAAATGTCGGTGCGGGTGACTATGCCTGTCCAGCATCCAAAAGGAAAAGCAAGTCGAGTCCAGTTCTAAATATGATCAAGATGCTCCTATGTTACTTGATACACTAATTACTGACACAAACAGATATTCAGAATCTCTGCTTTCTCAGAAGATAGAAACTCACCAACGACCTGCCCTTCCTGATTCACAATGGGGATCCTGTGGATCTTCTCCTTGAGCATTGAAGCTGCTGCATCTGCAGTTGTACCAAGAAACTTTTCTTTAGCCTCATCAACCAGAACCCAATCTCAAGTGATCATTATCAAATGAATGAACATGAGAAAGAAAATTTAATTTGTACAAATATAAGAGAAGATTACCCAAAACTGTCTTTTCAGGTGATAGAGTGATGGCAGGAGATGACATGACTTCTCCCACCTTTGACTTTAGCTGCAAGTATTCATAAGTTAAAATCTTAATTAGAAAATGAAAAAATAAGACTATTTACCGATATCAACAAGATCATTTCCCTCCTACCTATCACTAGGCATGTCCAACCAGTTTTTTGGATAGCAGACTGGAAGAAAATGAAAGGTTGAACAATTGAAACCAATGAAACCAATAAGCAGTTAAGATTTCCAAGCTGACAAATCCTGGAAAAAAACTTTTGCAAAGTAGAGAGAAATTCTAGTAAAAAACAAGCTAGTACAGCTCTTGGATTTTTCTTCCAACAGACAAGGACCATGAAAAGACATGTCCAACTTTGTCTTGTATTCATTGGTCCCACCTGTCTCTAGGGAAAAGTTTTCAATAGTTAAACAAACATTTTTTTATCATTGTTACTATCACTCGTTGATAAATTAAATAACTCCAATCAGTGTTAAACAGTTGGTCCCATGCTGACAATCTAAAAAGTGTTTGTAAAGTTAAATAAGTCAAAACTGTTGTTAAGCCATCTAGAACTCGACTGCTCGGAACACAGGCAACTATATAGGTGTGGTCTTCATCCATTACAATTTTTAGGATAACTAACAATAATGGATGAGGTTTTCGCTGCAATTTGCTTAGAAAGGTAGAATGCACACACTCATTTCAAATAAGAAATTAGAATACAACATTTAGTGTTCATGCGGATGATGTAGAGGTGTATGTATAATACACAGACACACGAGTATATGGGAGTGTGGATCTGCTGGTTGTCTCATCCAATGAGCTTCCCTAAATGACTAAGGAATCTTCCATATGGAAAATCATCCCGAAAAAGTGGTGAATAGGGGCTAGGGCTGATGTGGAGTGGAGGATTTAACACCTGGACAATCCAAAGGTCCTAATGAACAATTTGGATCTCTCACATTGTCTCTTCACATGAAAATATCGGTGAAGTTGTGAAGGGAATATCCCTACTTGACCAGTCTAGGAAACCTTTTCTTATATGGGAGTGGATTTTCTAGTCAGTTATTTAACAAAGAAGGCTGAGCAATCAAGGAATTCTATGGGTCAGGATCTGCTAGTAACAAACAATGACAGGCACATCACAGTTTTGTGCCACCTGTCCTCAATACTAAAAAAAAAAAAAACAATGTGCATAAATGCATATTGCTCATGCCTTGTTTATTACTAGCAGATCTGGACTCATCTTCCATGTGGCAAATTGTTCTGGGGCTCAAATGACCCCACAAGTTTCTCACTATATCCTATTAATAGAGCAACTTTGAGCCCCAAAACCCTAGCCCTGTGATCAGAATAAACCATATTTTTAGGCAAATATAATGTTAAAACGTTGATGATTGCTTCCTAGTCAATCATGTTAGACCCAAAGTACCTGTTGTATTATGTGTTTGTTCTCTATCAAGGCAATTACTTTACCTTTCTCCAGAAAAGAGGGCTAACATTCCTGATAGGAGCTGCTTTGCCTAAGCTGCTTGCAATTTGCCTCTATAAAATCTCTGATTTGACCACATCATCACCAGTGGAGTGATACTTGCCCTAATTTAGACTAGTATTGCTCTTCAGGTATTTGTTTAGGAATTGGCTCTATTTGACCCCAAAATCTTGGGATATGTGACTTGGTTAAGATGGTCTCCTAGCTCGGTAAACATTGTACTCTTTTTTTGCATAAATATTGTACATTGAAGAGAGTTAAATTTTCACATTACAAGTAAACAAGCTATAAGTAATAGTTCAGATGCTCATTATTATCATCCAATGGAGGTCATCAGCAACAAAAGATACCTGATGAACTTAAGTATTATAACTGAAATCTCAAAATGAAAATAATAATGGCTATAATGCATACAATTAGAAGTTCATGGCTGGTTGAGGATCAAGTTCATACTGAACAAAACCAAGAATATGAGGAAAAAAAATACATACATACACTTGGGGTGGAAAACTAAATATAGGACAACCAGGCTGGATGAATTGCAGAGGAAGACTTTAGGAGGCATTTTGTCAATACGATAAGCAGCAAATAGTATAGCTTCAGATCAAAATACCTTGAAAACATGCATATTAAATAAGAGGCCCCAAGCCACCTCAAAAAGATCCCTATTTTTCTCTTTTCTATCTCATTTTGTTGAGGGTATAAGTATGTGATGTTTGATGGACAATTCCATAGAACAATAGGTAACCATCAAGTTGAGTCTCTGGGTCAATAGTTGTCAAGGAAACACCTAGGCAACTAAGTGTTTTTGGGGGTTGCCTTAAGTGAACACCATGAAGTATTTAAATAAGGTGACCACTCAGTTCATAAGGCACTCAAGGCGGGCATTTAAGCACTAAAAATAGCTAAACAGGTGCCTTATTCCAGGGATGTAGTGATATGCACAATACAAGTGTGACCTGTGATACATGTTATCACCAATATTACATTTTAATATCTATAAACATCACATTTCTCGTTTTTCATCTCTTTCTTTTCACATTTTGTGAAACAAATGGAGGAGTGAGAATGATGGAGGGCTTTGCATCTGAGAACCGAAAAAGTTGCATCTTAGGATAGGAGAAATCATTTGTTGCAGCTAGGGATGTCAATGGGTTAAGTGGTAAACCAACCTTGACCCAACCCTATAGTGTCAGGTTGAGTCAGGTTGATGCAGATCCACATAAAACTTAACCCATTAGCATCACTAACTCACAATGTTTAAGACTCAGACCAGACCAAAACCCAGAATGCTCATTAGGAAACAATTCAATGGGTTAACTGGATGGTTAGCCTGTTCAACCCATGAAAACCGACATTTAACTGGGACTAACAAATTTCTACTTCAAACCAATGTGAAAAAAAAAAAATAGTAAGTGGCAGAAACTTCACTCCAGAAATAAAATTAGAAAGTAACTTTTTTATTGGTAACTGTGAGATTTCATTAATTAAATAGTAAGGTTACAATTTTACAAACCAGGCTAGACAACCCAGCCCAAAGAAGAAAAATTACACCACAGCCCAAAAACATTTGATCCCTGGAAACCTCTTGTTTAGTTAAGTAATCTGCTAGCCCATTAGCAGATTGTTTAAACCATCTAAAAGTTGCCTCTTTGCTTGGCAATGCACCCAATCTTTCTTAGAGTTTGCATGTGAGCCCACACTCCTTAATTTTCACTATTCACCCAGGACATTAATAGTTTTGAGTTCCCTTCTACCTCTACCTGCTGAAATTGCAATTGATTGGCTAGTCTTAGACCATGAAGCAGTGCCAAAATTTCTGAATTAATGAGTCTCAAACACCTATAAGTCATCCCAATATCTGATGGGCCCGGGTTTCCTTGAGAGCTCCCATTGAAATTCAGCTTCACTCTATTATTAATAGGTGGTTTCAACTCTTTATGGACATATTTCTCAAAGTAGTAGAGGCTGCTATCACTCCCCAATCTCTCAAAATGTCTTCTAGACTTCTACCATGTATTCCTCGAATGTCTCCATTGTCTTTACCAAAAGAGAAAATTCCACACATACTCTTGTTATAGCTCCCTTAGTCTTACTCTGCTCCTTAAATATTTCATCATTCCTCTCCTCCCGGATTGCCCAAAGGATTGCTGTTCTAGTGGTCCTCCACATCATCCTACCTTTTTCTCGGATTGCCCCAAGAAGTCAGGGCTACATAAACCAGTCACATCCTGAGGGGGAACCCACCTGCAACCAAAGAAGGAATAGAACCACTTCCAAATTCAAGTCACAAAGAACAGATCAGTAAATGGGAAAGAAAGAGACTCGACACTGTCCTTGTAAAAGATGCATATATGAGGTGAGAAACACCTATTTGCCCTTTTCTTTCGGAGCATATCACAAGTGTTCATTTTCTGTAGAACCACTTCCCAGTAGAACACCTTAATCTTTGGTGGCATAGGTCTACTCCAAAATTCTTTTATTTGAATGATGCACCTAGGCTGTTGAAATGGACAAGTGTATTGAAGAAAGAAGCATAGGCTGAGTTTGGTTGCAGTGTGAATCTGAACCAGATACAAATTTTGCACCCAGTTCAGTTTTTCATATGTTTATTTGTAACTATGATTTGCACTCCTACCAGATACAAAATTTCTACTTTTTTTGTCTTATTTGTACTCACTAGCAGTGTAAATTTTGCATCTCAAAAGCTGATGCAAAATTTGCACCACCTTCCTCCTACCTCAATTCTCTCTGATATAAAGTGGGACCACACAATTTTAAGGTGGGTACCAAACAATTTACTTCCTATTTATTTTTCATAACAAAACAAGATAAGGTCAAATCTGAAGCAAAAGAAACCAGAATTTACACTCAGCCTATTTGTACTCCCATGCATTTACACCAGTGAAAATTAAATTTACACTGCACTAAATGCAGCCACAGGAGAAAAGCCCAGGAGAGGCAAACCAAATATGACTGTCCGGACAACAAATTGATCAGTGAGGAACATTCCCCATTTCTAAGACGCCTTCTAAACCCAAGATCCCAATTAATCTTAGTGGAAGATGATACACAATTTTGCAATAGGTTCCAACTTATAAAGAGATGAAGAACAAAGCTATGGATATTGGTCCTTAAGAGTTACCCAACCACCACTCATCTGTTGATCTGAGTGAATAGGTGCCCTCGATTCAGAATAACCTTGGTGTATGGACAAATCCTACGGCCGATGGCATAGCCTACACCAATGGGTAATTATCTTTGACTAGTCTCCTTTTCTTGGCCCATTTATAGATAATCGAACTGATGCCATGTCAGCAAGACTCTTGCTTGGTGTGGTCAAAGTTTGGCAAGGTAGTTGAGAAAATCTGGGCAACTAATCCTACCTTGTGGGACACTTGTCCCTTGATCCAAGAGGCAGAAAGAGTCTAGGTGGTTAGAATAATCTCGGATAAGAAGGGGTTTTCCCCTTATCTATTTTGTACCGTTGAGTGATGGAAGCCCCATTATAAATATGGGCTTCCAATTCAACTCTGAGGCACAACTTAATTTCTGAGAAAATCCCCTG